TGACTTTCAAATAAACAAATAAATCTTAAAAAAAAAAAAAAATAATGCCAGTATCTGAGGCCAGCGTTGTGGCACAGCAGTTAAAACAACCACCTGCGACACCAGCATCCTACACGACTGCTAGTTCACATCCCAGCATGGCTTGGGAAAAGCTTCGGAGGAAGGCCCAACTGTTTGAGGCCCTACAACCCAGGTGGGAGGCCTGGATGAGGCTCCTGGCTTCAGCCTGGCTCAGCCACAGTTGATTCAGCCATCTGGTGAGTGAAACAGCCTACAGATGCTATCTTCTTTCTCTGTAGCTCTGACTTTCAGATATATAAATACACAGAAAGAAGGCAGGCAGGCAGCCAGCCCATTTCCCACATCAGACCTGGGCTCATCTGCTCCAGCTCCTGACCCCACCTTCCTGCTAATGCAGACTCTGAGAAGCAGTGGCGATGGCTCACGCAACTGGGTTCCTGCCACTCACAAGAGCGACCTGGATTGAGTTCCCAGCTCTGGTCACATCCAGCCCAGGCCATTAGGGCATCAGAGACATGAACTAGCAAATGGGATCTCTCGCTATCTCTCAAATAAATAAAATCTCATCAAAAAATAGAGAAGCCAACAGGAAGACAACATTTAGTCTCGGAGTTATCAATGCATTCCGCAGGGAGCACCATCAATGCACTTCAGGGCTGCTCATGACCCACTCTAAGGACTGAAGACGAAACTGAAATGGGGATTCATGGTTCAGAAAGGAGTTGAAGAGACGGTCTTTAATCTTCCTGCAGGTACTACCCTTTAAAATAAATTCCAGAAAGCAGAGGGACATCAAGAGCATTTTTTAAAAAACAAATATTTTTAAAAAGATTTATTTATTTGAAAGGCAGAGTTATAGAGAAAGCGAGAAGAGATAGAGGGAGAGATCTTCCCATCTGCTGATTCATTCCCCAAATGGCCATAATGGCCGGGGCTGGGTCAGGCAAAAGCCAGGAGCCTGGAGCTTCTTCTGGGTCTCCCACACAGATACATGGGCCCAAGCACTTGGGCCATCTTCTGCTGCTTTCCCAAGCACATTAACAGGGAGCTGGATCAGAAGTGGAGAAGTCAGGACTTGAACTGGTGCCCATATTGAATGCTGGTGCTGCAGGCCACAGCATAACCTGCTATGCCCACAGTGCTGCCCTCAGGAACGTTGCTATAAACTCCAAAGACTGCCTGGCCATGGTGTCATTCACTTTTGGTTTCACGTCATGTCTGTCTGTACCACTAGTTATCTGTACAGCACTGGTTGATAAATTATGTTTGTATAGCTAACCAATTTCATCTCCTCTTGATGATTCAGTTAAGGAGGTAGAGAAATCCACAGAATGGGGGCCAGCACTGTGGTGTAATAGGTTAAGCCACTGTCTGCCACGCCAGCATCCTAAAAGGGTGCTGGTTCAAGTCCCGGCTGTTCCACTTCTAATACAGCTCCCTGCGTATGTGCTTGGAAAAGCAGCAGAAGATGGCCCAAGTCCTCGGGCTCCTGCCCTATGTGGAAGACCTGTGGGAAGCTCCTGGCTCCTAGCTTTGATGTGGCCCAGCCCTGGCCATTGCAGCCATTTGGGGAGTGAAACAGTGGATGGAAGATCTCTCCCTCTCTCTCTCTGCAATTCTGCCTTTCAAATAAATAAAAAATAAATCTTTAAAAAAAAAGAAATGCAGAGAATGAGTAAAAAATCTGACAGCATTTTATAAAGTTCCTAGGGAAATGGAATTTAAAGATAAGTTTATTTGGGTACAAGAGGGGACTGGTGTTGTGGCACAGCAAATTTAGCTGCCATCAGTGACACCAGCATCCCATATGGGTGCCAGTTCGAGTCTCAGCTGCTCCACTTCCGATCCAGCTTCCTACTGGTGTGCCTAGAAAAGCAGTGGAGGGTGGCCCAGGCACTTGGGCCCCCGTACCCACCTGGGAGACCTGGAGGTAGCTCCTGTCTCCAGCCTGGCCCTGCCCTGGCTGTTGGGGCCATTTGGGGACTGAACCAGCAGATGGAGGATTTCTCTCTCTAGCTTTCAAATAAACAAATAAATCTTAAAAAAAAAAGAAATTTTTGAAATCTATGCCATTTTTTCATAATATGAATTTTCCATAGAACTTTGTCAAGACTCCTCATATTTCCATGAAAATTAGTTTAAGTTGCGATACTTAAAAAGTTAGACACTTACTACATGGAACATTCCCCAAAGCCATCAGATGATAAAGGTTTTACTGTACTGAACATGCACACTTCACATGTGCATTCCAAGTGTGGGGCCTTGGGCTGCTTAGCACGCATTTGCTCTCGCTTGCTTTTGCAGTGGATATTTGTGGATATTTATAGACTAAGCCTAAGCAATGGCACTCACAGTACTGACTCGGATGCCAGACTCCTGCACACAGTGCCGAGATCTGCATGTTTAAAATCTTATTGAACAGGAACACAAATAAGGATACAGACATTGCAACTCAGTTTGAGTTGTGACTTAAAACTGAAAGCGATTATATATCACTCTTTTACCATATCAAGACATTTATGAATCTCTTGCATATGCAATTGGCCTTTCAATGAGCAATAACATCCTGTGTAAAAGCAACAGTCTACCAACTAATCTTTTCTTAAATCAAAATTAAAAAGCAGCAAAGGGAAATAAATGTTAAGAAGATGAATTATCTTTATTGCCTTTTTTTGTAATAGCTTTCCCTGCAGTATCTTTAAGGAACCCACCTCCTGGCATTTTCAAGCATTTCTACTGTACAGCCACTACCCTGTACTGTGGATACAAGTTGTTACCTTCCTGCAGCATTAAAACCAAGGTCTGCCTGAATGTAATTCCCACCATACACAAGGTTGCTCTGAACACAAACAGTAAAGAAGCTACTTTCTTTCTAGACTAAAGCTAGGGAAAATGGAAGGTTTCATTTATGCAGGCTTAAGGAGAACTAAAGCAGAGGAATTTATTTTCTGACTGAAGTAATTCATTTTGGGAGCACACACGGGCAGGTTAAGTTGCTGCTGGAGACAACGTGCATCCCGTATCAAATGCCTGGTTTGAGGCCCAGCTACTCTGCTTCTGATCTAGCTCCTTGCTAGATCTCCTGAGAGACAGCAGAAGATGGCTCAAGTACTTGGATTCTTGTCACCCACATGGGAGACCCAAAATGCTTTCAAGGCTCCTGGCTTTGGCCTGGCCCAGCCCTGAGTGTTGGAGGCATTTGGAGAATGAACCAGCAGATGAAGAAACTCTCTCTTCCCCATTCCCCTTTCCGTGTCTCTCTGCATTTCAAATAAAAATGAACTAAAAATTAAAAAAAAAAAGTAACTTTGTTTTGCTTTAATGTGAAACAGGGAGTTTAGGGAGGAATTCCCTGAGTAAAGACAGTGTACGCCTAGAAATGATCTGGAAGGCACTGGGTGACTTAAGTCTTGAAAACAGTTCATGGTTAATGTCTTGACTCCTGATACTCAATATTGTTTTCAGTTGGCCCAACTTGGCTATTCGGGAGAAATTCCTCCTTTATGCCCAGATGAATGTCAAAGGAAGGGGTAATCTCCTTTGTGCACTGAGCCTTTAAATAAGCAAATAGTAAGATTCAAAATCCTCAAAGGTGGAGGACATTTTATACTAGGTTCTCAGTAAGCTGGAGGTTTTACTTCCCATTCTCACTCTGGCTCCAAGGAGAGCCCTGCTTGCCCAATCACACAGCCCTGACACTGTGCATGAGAGAGCGTGGATGAGGCTGTCCTTCTCCCACTTCAAAGTCAGTTTTGTCCAGCAGAAAGTCACCCTGCAACCTGCAACATTTACCAGATTCCTCACGCCCTCCCCCACTGCCCCAGGTTTCAGAACTTCACCCACTTTCCATGAACATGTTCTGCAGGAAGAAATAGATTATTTTTATTTTTGAAGTGAGTAAAATGCTAGAGGAAAAGGTAGGATAATTTCTTTCTTTTTCTTTAAAAGGTAGGATAATTAATGAAGGAAAAGCAGAAGTCCATTTACATAACATCTTTTTCAGCCTCACCTGAAAATCAAAGCGAAAGCATCTGCTATCTCCAGCTCCCAGCCTTAATTAACTTTTAGTGCTGTCGAGGTTCAGCAAGTCCTTCCACCCCGGTCAGCGTGGCGCAGCTCTCAGCCGCCCTCAGCAGTGGTCACAGGGACACTGGCTGAGCGAGTGCGAAGGGCACTGCCGGCCGGCAGCATGGCTGCGGCTTCCTGCTCCTGAGAAACCTTCTCTGCCCTCCTTGCCCCCCCTGCCCCCGCACTCCAGAATACAAAAGCCGGACACTGTGCACTGAACTACCTCCTGGAGGGGACGAGTAGAGAAAGAAAAATATTTTCTTCAAAGCAGATGCTGCTGCCACTGTCATCAGGACCCCTGGCAGCCTGTCTCAGAACTGCAGGTGACAACTGTCTGCTCTCACTGCCGTCACTGAGAAGGGAGGAGGCTGAGTGAAGACTTCGCTGCTCCCCTCATGCTCATGGAGCGAGACAAGCAAGATCCTGACAGAGCCTGACACAGGCTAGCAAAATCCTTTAGCTGCAAGCCGGGTGTCCTGGGGGGCATCCACGAGAAACTCAGGCCCCGAGAGCCCGTGGGCACCAGCACAGGAGGGGAAAGCCTTCCTCCACAGCACATCTTCCGAAGATGTACTTTTATGTCTATCTGAATAAACTACTCAAATGTTCAAATTGTCTTTCGATTACTTATAAAGTTTACTAACAGAAAAATTGTTCTATACAAAATTCTACCTTCAAATGAAACCAAATGTTCCTAATTTGGTAAAGTATTTCATTTCCAACTAAATTTCTAACTTAATAATTTCATTGTGACTTAATTAAATTGCAAAGCAGACAATTCTGCTTTCAGGACATTTTAAGAGTTGGAAATTTCTCTAGATGCTAAGTCAAAATTTCAGTGGCTTTTCGTCCTAGCTCTGTCTTGTGCAGATACACACAACACCTTGCATTCAGTTTGGACGACTACTTACCTTTAGACGCTCAATGGCTTCCTCTCCTCCAGGTGTAGACATGATCCTCTCCTGAATACTGGTCACAGATGCTAAGCCCACCTGACTATTGAGTGAGCAGGAAGATGGAGATGAAGTAAGGGACCCCATGGATGCTGTGGAGAAATTGCCAGGACGTTGATTCTCAGAGGCTAGCAAGTACCTATGCTTATTGTTCTGAAAATCTTTGAGATCTGGGAGATAGAAAGAAGGGAAGGCAGAGAAAGCGGAAAAGAGGGAAGGGAGCAGAGGAAGGAAAAAAAGACAGGAAGGACACCAGTGTAAGAAAGGAGAGCATCAAAGCGCCAAGACACAGACGTTATAATACGAAGACAAGTTATAATATTCTAGATGGCAGTTCTGAAACGTGTCTCTCTTTAGGACTGGCATCCTAGAGGTTAAGAACCACTTCTGAATTTAGCAACTAAAAAATTCCAGTGTAGGTTAACACTGTATTTGGTAGAGAGTAGCAAGAGCCTCAAAAGATACTGCTCAGGAACTCTCCCTCCACAGCCAGACTACATTCCTTCCACTCTTGGTACTGTTCCGGGTCTACAATGCCTTAAATTCCAGTAGTTTGTTGTCACAGAAAGAGGGAGATGATGATCATTTCTATAACAACTATCAACAATAATACAGGTTGTCCTGGTCTAGTGCTTTATGGAATTTAACAAAAATTCCCAAAAAAAGTTACAGTTAAAACAGAAATATGAGTACATAGTTATGTCCTTTGTAAAGCAACATTTCAATGTGCAAAATGGATTCCTAAAATACACTTTAAATAAAAGGAGAGGTAATGGTAGAAATGATAGGAATTTTGTGTAAGACCTGGTAAAGAACTCAGGATTGAGTTATCACCTCAACAGGGAAGAACAATTAGTGAATTAACCAGTTTTGGGGTAGTTTCCATTCATGTACTACAGGAAAAAAAAAAAAAAGGCTGATTATTTACTAACTTAAATAAGTCCTTATTGTTGCCTAACAGTACAATCAGGAGTCACTGGTAAGTCTGCTTCCCAGTATGATATCCAAGTTTTATGAGCGGATCTTCATTTAGTAAAGTCTCTTACAGAGCTGTAAAATTCTGCTTTTAAACTTATTTTTGGTAACAAACAGAAAGTCACCACCACCAAAATTCACTAATTGCTACTTGTACTTTCCATTCGTTATTCTTCTCAAATGAGAAAAACCATAGATATTGGTGCATTCCTATTTTAAAATTATTTCATTCTTAAATCTGAGAAAATCTCTATTGCTTAAATTCATATCAATACTAAATATTCCTTAAAGGATATAAAATGAGCTACTACAAATAGCTGGGAAAAAATTAGCTTTCTTGGGGTCTACTAATCTTTATTATTTAATCAAAGCCAGTTCTTAAAGCCCCTGACAGCCAGTGGTTGTTTCAAGACAGTTTGAAAACCACCATCTGCAAATATAAAACACAGGAAACAAGCAAAGTGGCAAGTTTTACACGGGGAGAAGGAACGGGAACAAAAAAGTTAGCCACCAGGTGACGGCAGCAAGGGGAAGACCGGGAAGAATGCGATTCAGAAGGTCCGACGGACACATGCAAGCCCTGAAAGGAATGAAGATCTGTGGCTGCCTTCCTTCATGGATACGGAAGTGTAACTCAGTCATGCATGGTCTTTCAGGAGATGCAAAGCTGCTCAGAACAGTGTATGCAGCAAGCTGGCAGCAGCAATGCCTGGAGCACAAAAGCCAAAAAGGGGGCATCTTTTCCACCCCAGCATCATCAGCTTTGGAAATCTCAGACAGAGCCTTCCAGTGCAACAGCCACCTGCGTATCTGGACGTCATGGCACCTCCAAGACCCAGCCTCATCCCAACATGGCGTAACATTTGGAATCCTCACTGCCACGCCTGGTTACATGGCTTATTGTAGACAGAAAACAGATCACTAAGAATCTAAAAATCAACCCCCAACTCAAGATTCATTTATTCTAAGATAACAATTCTTTGATGGATTATCTTAAAAGGGTAAAAACATTTCCTCACCAACTTGATATGTATGGAGAGAAGAGCAAATTGTGATCCTTTTTAAAATGATTTCATTTTAGACATTTGTTCTTAAAAATTTAATATGTAATTTATGAAAAGGGAAAAAATGCTCATCTAACCATCAAATAACTCAAGGCCCAAGATGTGGAGAAAACTAAATTAGCATAAGCACAGTGTGCTGAGTGAACATTTACCGAGCTCTTCATCAGAGAGGGTTTGGTCAACGGAAATGCTTGTTTTTAATTATATATAAGAAGGCACAGATTTGCAGTATTAATTAAAAAGGGTTTTTGAATTAAATAATCAGACCCTAAGGGAGCAACTTAAGAGGCTTAAAAAAAGAAAAAAAGCCGTTAGTACAATAACGGCTACGAGCAAGGGCTGCAGGTTAACACTACCCAGTGGGGCCTTAGCGTGTAATTCAGGCAAACCAACCACTACAGGCCATCAGGAAAATGGACACAACAGATCTGTTTCAGTCACGGATAGAATTCAGAGATAATATATTCATATTTACAGTGCCTAGAACAGGGCCTGACAATTACAGGCACTCCGTAATAGGGAGCTGCTATCCCCACCATCTATGATTTTGGATTTGATTTTATCACACAGGAGGTAAAGACTGGAGTAGAAGCAGGAAGAGATTCTCAAGCCTCCCCAGCTCACTCAGTAAAGCCTGCTCCGGTAAGTGACGAAGCCACAACACAGGCTCACTGCTGACCCTGCAGCGTGCTCTGTCTGGGGTTTCCCAGTCAGGACTGCTGGCATGCAAAGCTCATTTTCAGGCTGATCCAGCAGAGGCAGATTAGCAAGTCAGGGTACTGGAAATAACCAACACGTGAAATACACACATTTGCCTCCACTTCCAGAGTAATCATCGATCAATGGATCAACTGAATCAACTGATCAGGTAAGCAGGAGGGAAAATACGAGAAGGGTCAAAGTTCAGATTCAGCAGTGACATAGTAAGGGAAGAGAGCAGCATTTGGCATTTGGGAAAATAAAAAGGTTAACATGTAGAACATATTATTATTTTTATAAACCACATTCATCTAAACTCAGGCTGTAATCTGAAGAACTACAGGAGGCCTTGAAAATATTAGAATTTCAAGGAACATAATATTAATTTTACACAAAAAATAAAAATATGCTTTATTAAAGAAGCTCATATACTACCATATTACATTCTATCTGAACAACCTACCTCATTTAGGAAACCTCTGATTAGACTTGACACAGGCAGATCATGGAGTCTTTTTTAAAAATGTGTTATAAGGGGCCAGCGCTGTGGCACAGCGGGTTAATGCCCCAGCCTGCAGGGCCGGCATCCAATTTAGGTGCTGGTTTGTGTCACAGCTGCTCCACTTCCGATCCAGCTCTCTGCTATGGCCTGGGAAAGCAGAAGACAGCCCAAGCCCTTGGCCCCTGCGCCCACATGGGAGACCTGGAGGAGGCTCCTGGCTCCAGATCAGCGCAGCTCTGGCCATTGTGGCCATCTGGAGTGAACCAGTGGATGGAAGATTCTCCGTCTCTCTCTCTCTCTCTCTCTCTCTCTCTGGCTCTACCTCTCTCTAACTCTTTCAAATAAATAAATTTTTTTTTTAATTTGTAAGTGTTATAAAATTTGGTAAAATAATACTTTCTGGAAGACTAATTCTTCAAATTGATAGGAATTAGAATTTGCCTCTGCATATGTTCACACAACGGCATTCATAGGTTAGTCTTGTTTGAATACAGTCTCACATGGGGGCTTTCCATAGAATATTGCCACTACACTAATCCACAGAAACACATGAAACAAAAACAATTTCACAAAACATTTTTAAACTTCACTGCTGATCTAAAACAGAAATGTAATAAAAATATAGGTAGTGATATCTGTGTTCAAAGACTAGCTTCATGAGTTCAGATGGATAGTCCAGTACATACTGTAAGTATGTACATACTTGTACATAAAGGGAGCCTGAGATACTTTTCACTGGGTTTTTTAAAAAGAAAAAATAATCTTACTTCCAAATAGTTTCATCAAGTTCTTTAAATCCAAGTTTGTTTTAAATACAAGAACACTGAAAAGGATTAGATTTTACGTTGATTCTTAATTTACTTACTGTCAATAATATCTCCTAGTCCCTGAGCACGAAGAAGGTCTTTTAGCCGTGTAACTTCTTCTTTTAATTCACGAACCAGTTTGGCATTGGGGTCCTCATTGATAACAGCATTGCATTTAATTTGTTTTGCACGATCTGCATACCTAGATACAAAAAGAAAATTCACTCTTGCCATTTCTCAGATACTCTACTTCTCATAAGTCACATACCATATTTTCTAAACCAAACACGTTGAGTATTTATACATTGTATAAGCCTTGATAATATTGTATAAAGCTTTACAGTATGTTTTCTCAAATGTACACCCACCCTTGACAGCAATTGGGGCTTTCAGGTGAATTTAAGTGATCTCCCCAAGACTACACCAGAAACAAATACCAGAGAGAGAGGACTCAAACCCAAATTATCAGCCTATACAGTGTTCCACCCATTTACATGAAAAGCATCTTTAATGAGAAAAGCATACAGAGTTCCAGATTAATGTGATAGACCCTATTAACTCAAAAACTATTCTAGGAGTGAATATTCTGTTAGCAATTTTTTATGGAGATTTAAAGGGCCCACACTGTGGCATAGTGGGTAAAGCTGCCATCTGCAGTGCCAGCATCCTATATGGGAGCTGATTTGAGTCCCAGCTGCTCCAC